CTAATCTTCTTACTTGAAATGTCCCACAATAGTACACGTAATTACAAGAATTCTATTGTAGAGAAAAAGAATCCAAGTATAAAAGGGTTAAGAATAAGAGTATGGACATATGAACATCTTAGGAAGGATGGAAAACTAATAAATGAAGCAATTGCCGAAACTTTGGTATGTGTATTATTTCAATGTTCAACTAAGAATAATTTGATGTATTATATCACTTACTAGTATAAAATTTGAGTTCTATGAGTGTAGAAAAGGATTGAAGACCGTGCCCATTCAATTTCTGATACACTAGCAGAAGATTCCTTCCGCGATGATGTTGTTGCTCCAGTTTTAGGTCCTAAATGCCATGGAAGAGTCAAGGGACTTGGATTTGGAGTTGCACCACCAAAAGTGGATGGACAAATTTTAAGTAATGGGAGAATTAGAGAACTTGAAAGCTAATTACAAACTCAGTTGGAAAGGGTGGGAGTACTGGAAGAAAATATCGAAGCACTTCTCAAGTTATGTCAACAGGTCATAACTTTTTGCCATTATATGTACTATGATAATATAACTTAATATAGCCAATTATATGTAGAATAACTTTTATAATCTTTGTATCATTTTCTAGAATGTGGAGAATGGGAGTTCAAATGCTTTTATTCCTTAAGTTTTTGTATCTTACATTATTAAAAGTTTATTCAATATAAATTCAGATTAGAGTCTACTAATTTAAATAAAGATATTTTCTATTTACTATGAATTTGTAGTCATGCCAAGGAAGTAGTGTCCAACGAGGTATTGTACATATGGAAAATATAAGGTGTAAACTATAGCATTGGTACATGTTTGAAGAGGACGAAGTAGTCGTAGAAAGGAGAATTGTTTTCTTGAAGAATTATTTTCTTCAGATATTTCCTTGTGAAACATTGTTGTTGAGACGATTGATATCTACTGTGTAAATGGGCATTTCAAGTACGTAATATGTGGAACAAACTTGGGTTACATGCTCATCGTTAGAGAATATCCTTAGTTGTAATCAGTATTTGCATTTCAGTAGGAGCACTAGGAAAAGCACACCATGCAGTTTGATTCATGTTGCTTGTAGAGTCTTGGTTCCCGGCTCAACCACAAGATGAATGAGTCCGGAGGCAACGATTCGAAGACCCCCAGATGCCATTCTCATAAACTATCCTACAACATGTAAGATGAATGAGTTTTTTGCATGGATTTTGTTATAAATAAACGACTTTGTTTATTTTGTATGGAATTTATTATAGATGAAAATGTCTAGGGCTTGTTCGGTAGTGATTTTGAGAATTGATTCTTTAACCGTTGAAGAGAAAATTGGATCTTAACTATGAGAGAAGAAGTCAAAAATGACGACTTGAATAGTGAAATAACGGTCAAAAATTTGATTTTTTGAGGTGAAAAATTTCTACCAAACATGCACCAATTTTGTAATGTCTAAAAAATGCCTTAGTAGGACCATGACCCACAAGGCGAGCATGCCACCTACGAAAAGCTACATTAGATTTAGGCCAAGTGCGAATACCTCTTTCGCGAAGTGGCCCCAACGGCAGAGAGTTTAGAAAAGGAGGACCTTGAGTGCAAGGAAACAGCTGACCCACCGCCGCCTGTTCAACTGCCTCTGCATTGTTGAAGAAAGGACTCAAGTAGAACTCATTACGTTCGACATCGACGGGCGCGAGAAAACTCGGAGTTATGTATGGGCGACTCAGAAGTTTTTGAAAGTCATTAAAACTAAAGGAGTCGCCAGCTTGAGATTGTGAAGCAGCCATTTGAGAAGGAACGAAGTTTTTCAGGATTACGTAGTAGGGAAGCAAAAGATGAACAGTAAATCGTGAGAGAGACAAAATTTGAGGTGTGGTTTAATGGTATAGTGAAATGGCGTGTTTGGCGTGTTTGGGGGTTATAAGGGTTTGCAAAACGACGCAACTTTTCAAGTTATAGAAGAAAACAATGATTGAAATTCTTGGAAATTTCGAATGTTGCTGGAAACACAAAGTGAATATGGCAAAATTTAATAATTATTATAAATTCTGCCATATTGGGAGGTAATTGTTGACACATAAAAATTCAGCCTAAATCGAACGGCCCAAGGAGTGAAGCCCAATTGGAGAATCCCCAAATCAGATAGCCCAAAGAATGAAGTCCAATCAAACAAATCAAGATGAAGGCCCAAATAGGGAGGCCCAAAAACACGGTAACGCCATCGCCCAAGTTTGCAAGTCGCCCAAGATCTGAGCGAATGGTGTGCCATACAGTCGCCCAGAGCTGTTGCTCTATTCTCGCCCAAACCTTCAAGTCGCCTAAGGTCTTAACAGACATAAAGCGTCGTGGTTATCAAGAAGTGCAGTTATCAAAGCAGTTATTAAAATAGCCCTATCACGTTCCACGATTCAATGAATTCAATCGAAAGCGGTTGAACGACGAAGAGTAATGACAGCAGTTAAAAAGGCAGTTTTCATGACAAGTTGACCATTACGAGGAAAGTGGACAGTTATAGGACGATCAAGCGGCTTTTAGGCGGTTGATCACAAAGAGATCGTCTATGATGTATAAAAAGGAGAAAAAACATAGAGCAGAGGGACCAAATCAAAAACTCTCGAACAGAGACCATGTAATTTTAATTTCCTTAACTTTAGACTTAAACAATTTTCTTTCAGTAACTCGTGTGCTTGCGCCCCTTGAAGGCACGTTGTTTTTAATTTCCAATTGTAAAGTCATCGTCAATAAAAGAACACCCCTTTTTGAGACTTTGTCTCAAGAGATTTGTCCCTTACACAATCGTCTGATCTCTTTTAATTGTTAGCGACTAACCCGCGCGAAACAGATTCGAAGACCCCCAGATGCCATTCTCATATACTATCCTACAACATGTAAGATGAATGAGTTTTTTGCATGGATTTTGTTATAAATAGACGACTTTGTTTATTTTGTATGGAATTTATTATAGATGAAAATGTCTAGGGCTTGTTCGGTAGTGATTTTGAGAATTGATTCTTTAACCGCTGGAGAGAAAATTGGATTTTAACTATGAGAGAAGAAGTAAAAAATGACGACTTGAATAGTGAAATAACGGTCAAAATTTTTATTTTTTGAGGTGAAAAATTTCTACCAAACATGCACCAATTTTGTAATGTTTAAAAATATGAAATGAAATCTTAATTTCAATTTGATGCACAACCAAAAACTCTTTAGTTATGTTCTTTAATTTGCATATTTTACTATAAAAATATAAAAACATCTTTAAATATATTGGTTAATATAAAAATATAGAAAAGGTGATTTAATTAAACAAATGGTGCTAGAAGGTGAACATAATTTGTAAAGACAACACGTTGCAAAAAGTCTTTTGCAACGTTTTTTGTTTAAAGGCATAAATTTGAAAGATAATTTTGTTGTAGTAAAGGGAGTTTGAGAAATATGAGTTTTTAAATAATTAAATCATGGCCTTAATTTAATTCTTATAAATGCGAGAAAAGAAATTATATATTCTTCCTAATGTAAATAATTAACTTTGTTAATTTGCATTTTTATTTACGTTATTAAGATTGCCCTTTTATTTAAAATGTCGATAAGTTTTTGGGCCAAGAATATCCACATTCTTCAAATATTTCAAGTTACAGGAAGGTTCATATCCCTCATTTTATAGTTTTCATTAGTACTATTTTTTCAAACTTCTTTTGTCAAATGTTTAGAAAGCTGTAAAAACCATAAAATAATACAACAGCTTTGTCAATTTCTAAGCTTTTATCACATCGGTGCACGTGTCAGTCATATAGCTCCTAATTTGGACGTGTCCCTAAGTGTCGAGCATGTACGTATGAAAAGCTTAAAATGTGTGTGCATACGTCAAACGTGTAATTCTTAAGTTAGACATGTATGTATGTTTATATTCAATATTAAAACCTTACGCTCATGTGCAGGCCCCGTCTAGGCCTCTGCCTCAGGTCCAAGACCATTAGGAGCCTCATTTTGGCTCCATTTTTTTATTTTTATTTTTATTTATTTATTTATTTTTATAACAAGGTGAGCAGGCCTAAAATAAGGTGAGTTGGCCCAAGACTAATTATCCAACAACAAAACAACATCCTTAAATCCCACAACAAAACAACATCCTTAATACACCTTTGAATTTTGTTACTGGAGGACCTAATTTTCATCGTTCGCCTCAGAGCCTATCAAACACAGGACCGGCTCTACTCTTGTGCATAGCGTGCAATGCACGTGCTTTGAAACATTTTATTTCATTTCCTATTTATCCTTTAATATTTTTCATTTCACAAATATCTTGAAGCGTGTATCAAAAGAGACAATACACCACCCTCCAACAATCCACCCCCATGGTTGCACATTCACAAATATTTCGTTTTCAAGTATAGTTGTAAATTAATTTGTGGGGCATTTTTAAAAATGTTCAATTTTAAAGGTATGAGTTGAAAAATGTCCACTAATTAAAATTTAGTGTCAATTTGTCTATTATACCCTTAATAAAAAGCTATATTTTGAAATAGTATTCTCGACATTTTAAATGTAGTTCTCGACATTTGATTTTTTTATCAATTTGTCACGAATTTTGAGAAGTGGCTTCCATGAGAAGCTACATTAAAATAATGTTTCTCGACATTTCATATATCATTCTCGACATTTGAATATCGTTTCATTTGTCTAGAATGACATTTCATTTTTAACACGACATTTCTCTACATTTAAAAATGTCGTTCTTAACATTTCTAAATCAATGAAAAACATAGTATTTATTGTGATTTGACACAATATTGCAAAAATGTCTATTTTTTTGTCTTAGTGTGGAATTATGAATTGTTAATAAGGGTATTTTCGTCTAAATTTTTCCAAATTAGACATTTTTGCAATGGTGGACATTTTTACAAATGACTAAGTAAAAATGGACATTTTGTGAAATTTCCTCTTAATTTGTTTACATCATTAGACAGTCTATTTAATCATTATCAGAGTCAGAAAGAATTATAGGTATCAGCACAAGTTTTCTTATTTAAATCATGTCAACCTAGAAATGTTTACATAATGATATATCAAACCTTCAACGTCAACATTCAGGCATGATGAGTTGTTAAGTCTTACAATTTGTCATGATCAATTAAAAATTAAATTGACCTACAGACTGATCATCTGAGGCACCAAACCATTCATCGGCTCCAGCAGCTCCTGACCACCCGTCAAGCTGCACGGTGTTTCCTGGCCATCACGGAGTACTTCCACCGCCTCTGTGCCCTCAGCTTTCTTGTGTTGGACCGCCCCAGGCAAGAATGAGAAAATCCCTTGCCATCTGCACCTTTATTATATAGACCTTTTTACTGTTTTATAGATGTATATATAGAGATTATAGAACAACTAAATTAAGACTTTTATAAAAGTAGAAGTAATTAAACTTCATTTCCTTTTGTTTCGCGCGTGTTAATTCGCTAACAATTAAAGAGGATCAGACGATTGTGTAAGGGACGAAACCTCTTGAGACAAAGTCCCAAAAAGGGGTGTTCTTTTTATTGGCGATGAATTTTACAATTGGAAACGGAAAACAACGTGCCTCCAAGGGGCGCAAGCACACGAGTTACAGAAAAGGAAGTGTTTAAGTCTAAAAACTAAAGGAATGAAAATTACATATTCTCTGTTCGAGAGTTTTGGATTCGGTCCTTTGCTTCTAAGTTCTTTCTCCCTTTTATACTTTATAAGCGACCCCTTTGTGATTAACTGCTCTAAAAACTGCTTGATCGCCCTATAACTACCCACTTTCTTTGTAGTGGCCATTTTGTCATGAAACTGTCCTTTTAACTGCTGCCATTATCTTGCATCGTTCAACCGCTTTCGATTGAATCCCTTGAGTCGTGGAACGTGATAATGTTACTTTAGCAACTGCCTCAATAACTGCATTTCTTGATAATCATAATGTGTTATGTTTGTTGATACTTTGGGCGACTTGAAGATTTGGGCGAGACTCTGGGCGACCGTATGCCACTCTATTCGTTCAGATTCTGAGCGACTTGCAAACTTGGGCGATGGCGTTACCGCACTATTGGGCCCCTTATTTGGGCATTCACCTTGATTCATTCAATTGGATTTCGTTCTTTGGGCTATCTGATTTGGGGATCCTCCAATTGGGCTTTACTCTCTGAGCTGTTCGATCCGGGCTGAATTTTTATGTGTCAACACCTTTGTTTTTCCTTATTATCAACGATGGATTATTGATAATGATTAATAGGATAATGAGTTAACAAATAACTTTTGACTGATAAATGGAGGATGAAGATGTTTAAGGCTTTGTTAGATGGTCGAGTTACAAAAACTAATTTGTTTTCTGATAAGTAAATCCAAGATGTCAAAATATATGTGTTGAAATTATTGAGTAATGACAGGGAGTAAAAAAAAAAATATATATATATATATATATATATATACACACACACACACTGCAGATAATGTTTAAGCTGTAGTTAGTATGTGGCACACTAATCCTAAAGTTTATTTGTTTCTATTTTGATATTTTTTGCAATCACGATATTAAACACATATATACATAGATGATAGATATACCTATTCATATATGACTTATGAGAAACAACAAAATCATCTGGTGAAATACGATATTCATAAATAATCAACGATATATTTATTTATCATTTATGCAACACAAGTGCACGCGTAATTGAGATGTAATACATGTGGTACTAGTTAGTTATGTGAGACTTTTTACGTGAGACTTATTTATTAATTATTTTTTACTAAATAAAACAACGAATTGAGAATTTTATTACGCCGTTTTTAAGGTATGATTGGTTTTTAAGCTTAGATTGAAGTAAGTTATATATGGTTCTTTAATATGGCTGGTTTTGAAGGTGGGCTACAAATTGGGTGGGAAATGGTTTAAGTGAAAAATAATTTTCAAGAAAATGAAAAGATAAATGGGATATTCAAATTTAAGTTCGTATATCGATATGAAAAAATCTGGATACGGAGTTAAATTAAATAATATAAATGGTTAAAATAATTCTTTATCAGTGTATCTTCACCTTCCACAGCTTGGCTGATCCTTTGATCTCCTTTTGTTTAATAAAGTTATTGTTGTATCAATCCATAAGTTTAAACGAGTGCGTGCACGCGTTCTATTAGCATTTTTCTATAAATGCATCATATAGAATTTCAGAGTAAATAAAAGGAAATAAAATTAAAATCTATTGTTAATTTCAAAGCTCCATGTTTCGTGTTTGAAACGCCTGATTTTGAAAAAACGAAAATTGAATAAATAGACGAACAAATGTATCTCTCAAACTTGTCGAGCCCTGGCTGCTCTTCGCGTACAATAATAGGCAAATATAAACAATCGTGATACACGAACATCGGGTTTGATATCGGGAATGACCGCATACACAAACAAGGGAATTGGGCATTATTTTATTCACACGTGACCCACACATCCATGTGAGTGCACGGTCATCGGTGCGGTCATTCTCGCGGGTCGTTTGACTTTATTCAAATATATATTTATTGATTAAGATCGAATTCAAGTGTAGATTCTATTGTATTTTATTTATTTCCTCATAAAATTAATTTTACAGTATAGTCGTTTATTATCTCTCATGTGTACCTTGCCATGGAGTATTGATGTTAGCTCTATGTGTCAAACAAGTAGCTCTATGCTTCCCTTGTCATCTTAATTTTATAAATAAATCTATATGTCAAAAAAATTAAACAATCGAAAGGTGATGACAAAAACCAAAGAGTGCAAAAATAGTAGGGATTTTCCCCCTACAACAAGACAAATTATTCAATTTGCTGACTAGTGTATTTGGCGGTTATAATTCTTGTCCTCATATACTTACTCAAAAAATTATTTTGCGGTACACGAACTACGTGCCAAACTAAATAAGTTCTTTTTTATCATTTCATTTATATTTTCCTTATAAACTAGTCGTGGCAATCGCGCTCGTCGACTCGGACGCCCGTGACTTAGTCCGAAAAAAGCTCGAACTGGCCCAACTCGAGGCTCAGAGACACCGAGCCCCATTTCATGGAGTCAGCTCAAGCCAAGGCTCTACTCATGTGGCTTGACTTTGATCATCTTGAATTATATTTTACGTTGGAGTATGAGTTTAGTAGGATTCTTGGATTTGGTGTTGAATTTTTTTAACTAGTTATAATATTTTGGAAAGGTTAAATAAATAGTTGGAATATTGCTAGTGGATTGTTTTTGGATTGTTAGGATACTAAAGTGTTTTTGTTTTTTATGCTTTTAGATTTTAATATGGAACAAAATCGACCTCTTGCCAAAAAAGGAAGAACCTTATTATCTTTTTTTACAAAGAGCGACAAATTCGAGGGTACTCCAACTCCTGCGGTACCTATTCCTCCAGTTGCATCTCCTGAAATTGAACGGTCTTCATCGTTCAATATTGAGTTAGAACCATCCGATTCTATAGAACCAGACCCAAGAAAAGAAAGAAAATATATAAATATCCATTTAATGAACGTGATCAAATTAGGCATGCTTATTAAAGGTTGGGCCTTATTAACCCAAATTTTTGGAGTATCTAAGAAAAGAATGTGGAAAACGAAAACGTCGATTTCAGGAGCATTGGTACAATCGGTGTTCTTGGTTGGAGTATTCGCCTTCAACACATAAGGCATATTGTTTTTCTGCTTCCTTTTTCTTAATGAAAGTGTTTCACCTAACATTTCATCATTAATTACTATCGGATTTGATAGTTGGAAGAGGGTTGGCAAGGGAAGTAAATGTGCAGTTCTTGTTCATATTGGCACTACATCTTCATCATATCATAATGGCAATAAGAGAAGAGCTGAAGATCTAATGAAACCAACTCAACATATTGACAAGATAATGCATGTTGTATCAAGTGAGGAAAAACAGAAAAATTATTTGCATCTAATGACCACAATCATGAGTGTTCGGTGGCTAGCGCTTCAAGGTTGTTCATTTAGAGGCAATGATGAATCTCCATCTTCATTGAATTGTGGGAATTTTCTTGAAATGGTAGATGCATTTGGAAAAATGAATACA